AACTTTACCTCGCGTTCGTGCGCTCGACCACGCGAATCCAGGCAAAGGGTTGCATTCCCGATCGATGGCATCTTCCGGCTTTAGAAAGAAAGATAGATATATCGAGATGTAGATAAGTCGGTTTAGACGTAGATAAGTCGGGTACTCGACTCGATGTAATTGACTCTGTGTACTATGCACTTGACTCGATGCACTTCACTCGATGTACTTCACTCTGATGTACTTCACTCTGTGTACTATGCACTTGGCTCGATGCACTTCATTCGATGTACTTCACTCTGTGTACTATGCACTTGACTCGATGCACTTCAGTCGATGTACTTCACTCTGTGTACTTGATCCTATGTACTTCTCTAAAGGGCTTCGCACGGAAGAACCCTTCGCGATGCTTTCGGGAACACAAAAAAACTATGTGACCCACAAAGGTGCAAGGTTGCTTCAGCTGGAGCCTCCTCAAGCGCCGTGGCTCCGTTGCATGGCGCCTCACGCCTGTGGCCGTGCGCATTCTGGCGGACAACCTCCGTCCCTTGTTTCGGGTTCAGGACCGCTCAGAGCAGAGGACCCGTCACAGTCTAACCGCCTTCGAGTCCGAGAACCCATTAAGAGCCCATATTCCCGAAGGATGTGTTAAGAAGCCTCAGTCATTTTGTTTAAGCAATGTATGCACACGCAAGGATGGAAGATGTATGCGCAGATCATGCATGCATATATTGCAAGCACGAAGCCCCAGAACTCTCGACCACCCCCAAGCCCTCAATCCTATGAAGCCCTCGGCACTCGAACCCTGAACCCTACCAGCCTTAAACTTGATGATGCGCGATTCAGTTGTCTATCCCCAGGGGTGTGCGGTTTAGGGTTTAGGGGTGTGCTGCTATATCATAAGCTACCGTAACATGTTTTTTTTGGTAGGGCCCCCCTAGAAGTTTCATGTCTCTCCTGTCTATCCTGGTTGAGGTTCCTCCGGCCCCCAGAACGCCGTGGAGAACACACGGAGACTTCGCCTGGCATTGGAGAGCCTTGGCCCTGCCTTCGTGAAGCTCGGCCAGGCTGCAGCTTCCAGAGAGGACGTCTGGTTTGGGAAGTTTAGGGTTGAGGGTTTAGGGGTTTAGGGGTTTAGTATTAGGGTTTAAGGGTTTGGGAAGTTTAGGGTTGAGGGTTTAGGGTATAGGGGTTTAGGGTTTAAGGGTTTGGGAAGTTTAGGGTTGAGGGTTTGGGGGTATAGGGGTTTAGG